CTCGATATTGATTTGTATTGCTTATGTGTATATATGTGCTCTTGTATAGGGACCTTTTTGGTCAATGGTATGTCGACTCACGTTCTTTTTGATTCGGGAGCGACCCGGTCGTTTGTATCTCTTGCGCTTAGCAAGAAGTTTCGGGATGCTTCCGGGAACTTTGGATTCCCCGCTTGAGGTTGAGATTGCGGACGACCGCGCTGTGAGTGTTGCGAGAGTGTATCGGGACTGTGTCCTGAATGTGCATGGGGAGGGGTTTCGTGTTGATTTGGTTCCTATACCATTGTGAGGGCTGAAGGTGATCGTTGGGATGGACTGGTTGGGGGCCAATGGGGCCATGATAGATTGCGAGTGCCAGCTGGTGACTGTTCGAACTCCAAGTGGGGGAGAACTAGTTATTCATGGAGAGAGGGCCTTGCAGGGGCCAAACTCTGTACAGCTGCGAGGGCTAGGAGACTCCTCCAGTAGGGTTATTCGGTATTTTTTGGCATACATCTCGGATACGAGGATTGAGACCACGACAGACCTGGGCAATGTAACGGTTGTACGATATTATCGTGATGTCTTTCACGAGAGGTTACCTAGGGTGCCTCCGGAGAGGCAAGTAGAGTTTCACATTGATTTGGTGTCGGGTGCCGCCCCGATAGCCAAGGCAACGTAACGGCTAGCTCCGCCCGAGATGCAAGATCTATCTACACAACTTCAGGATCTGCTAGACCGAGGGTTTATTCGACCGAGCAATTACCCGTGGGGAGCACCGATCCTGTTTATGAAGAAGAAGGACGGGTCACACAGGATGTGCATTGATTATCGAGAGTTGAACAAGCTAACGGTGAAAAACCATTATCCGCTCCCGAGGATCGATGATTTGTTCCATCAGCTGCAGGGTGCGTCTTGGTTTTTCAAGATTGATCTTCGGTCGAGGTACCATCAGATGAGGATTAGGGATGAGGATATACCAAAGACAGCTTTCAGGACTTGGTATGGACACTACGAGTTTGTGGTGATGCCATTCTGGCTCACCAATGCCCCAACAACGTTCATGGATCTCATGAACCGGGTGTGTAGGCCGATGTTGGATCGGTCTATGATCGTGTTTATCGATGATATCTTGGTCTATTCTAAGACCAAGGAACATCATGAGCAGCACCTGAGGGAGGTATTAGAGACTCTGAGGACAAAAAGGTTTTATGTCAAGTTCTCAATGTGTGATTTCTGGTTGAGAGAGGTGCAGTTTTTGGGACACATCATCAACTAAGAGGGTATTTTGGTTGATCCAACCAAGATTGAGGCATTGATGAGATTGGAGGTGTCGAAGAATGCATCTGAGATTCGTAGCTTCTTGGGTCTAGCGGGGTATTATCAGAGATTCATCCAGGATTTGTCCAAGATCGTCGTGCCCTTGACCCGTTTGACCAAGAAGAATGTGACTTTCCAGTGGGACTCGGACCAGCAATTGGCTTTCGAGACCTTGAGGTAGAGGTTATATGAGGCCCCGATTCTAGTACTACCTGAGGGGCTGGATGATTTGGTAGTGTATTGTGATGCATCGAACTCAGGGTTAGGGGCGGTACTGATGTAGAGGGGTCATGTGATCGCGTACGCCTCGAGGCAGTTGAAGCCTCATGAGGTGAATTACCCCACTCACAACTTGGAATTCGGGGCAGTGGTGTTTGCTCTCAAAATCTGGAGGCACTACTTGTATGGGTTCGGTTCACCATCTTTACTGACCATAAAAGTCTGAAGTACTTGATGGATCAGCAGAACCTGAACACATGGCATATGAGATGGTTAGACGTCCTAAAGGACTATGATTGCGAGATTTTGTACCATCCAGGGAAGGCCAACGTGTGGCCAATGCTTTGAGCCGCAAGACGGTGGGTTCCCCGATCGGGAACGTTTTTTTTAGGATGACGGTGGTCTCTCCACTGTTAAACATGATCAAGGAGGCTCAAGTGGAGGGTTTGAAAAGAGAAAATTGGAAGCTAGAGCGGATTTAGGGTCGGATTCCCTTGTTTGTTTGGGTTGGTCGGGGTCTTTTGACATATTGTGCCCGGGTGTGGGTTTCCGGCATCTGAAGGAGTGAGACAGAAGATATTGGAAGAGGCACACGAGTCCAAATTCTCTATACATTCGGGGGCTAAAAAATGTACAGAGACTTGAGACTGAGTTACTGGTGGCCTTGCATGAAGCGGGAGATTGCCTGATTTGTGGAGCGGTGCTTGACCTGCAAGAAGGTCAAGGCCGAACATAAGGGGCCTCATGACAAGGTTCAGCCGCTACCCATTCCTATGTGGAAGTGGGAAGAGATCATAATGGACTTCATCACGAAGTTACCGCAGACTGCGAAGGGTGTGGATGCTATATGGGTTATCTTGGACAGATTGATGAAGAGTGCCCATTTTATTCCGATCTCCGAGAGCATTTCTGCTGAGAAGTTAGCAGATATCTACGTGAGGGAAGTGGTGGTCAGGCACAGAGTGCCAGTATCGGTGGTCTCGGACTGCGATGTTCGTTTTACATCTAGGTTTTGGCGAAAGTTCCACGAAGAGTTGGGGACTCAGTTGCACTTCAGCACTGCATACCACCCCTAGACATACAACCAAATCGAGAAGACGATCCAGACGCTCAAGGATATGCTGCGAGCATGCATTTTGGATTTTGGAGGGAGTTGGGATACATACCTCCCACTAGCAGAGTTCTCGTATAACAATAGTTATCATGCTAGTATCGACCGACCCCCATTTGAGATGTTGTATGATCGAAGGTGTAGGACCCCAGTTTTTTGGGGTGAAGTTGGGCACCGAGTCATGGGAAGCACCAAGGTGGTGCTTAAGACTACCGAGTTGATCCAGCAGGGCGCGCGACAGGCTGTAGGTCGCGCAGAGCCGTCAGAAGAGCTATGCTGACCGCTGTCGATCGGATCTCGAGTTCTAGGTGGGAGACTTCGTCTTACTGAAAGTGTCACCATGGAAGGGTGTCACGCGGTTCCAGAAGAGGAGCAAGTTAGGGCCCCGGTATATTGGTCCGTTCAGGATTACCGCCCAGGTGGGCAAGGTGGCTTATCGTTTGGATTTTCCGGTCAAGCGTAGCCAGATTCACAACACCTTCCATGTGTCTCAGCTCCGGAAGTGTGTCACTGACGAGGTTGCAGTCATATCTTTGGATGACATTCAGGTGGATGAGAGCCTGGACTACATTGAGAGGCCCATTACTGTAACACCCATAAAATTTGAGCCAAATTAAAACATTTTAAATCATTCAAAAACCATTACGTTCATACAACTCGTTTTCAAAATAGTTTAAACATCAGAGTATCCCCCAGAACCATATCATATAAATCATAAAACATGAGGAGCGGTACGATCACGCCTTCGCCTTACCACGATCTCCTGAAGTACCTGAAACAACAATAAACTGAACTGTAAGCCCAAAAGCTTAGTGAGTTACCCCCAAAATAACAACCACCATATCATACTCATAACATATCATAAATAGAACAGCCATGCACATCGGGTCTACTGTGTAACTGGTCCGCCCGCACCGGGCCTTCAGTCCACCTGGTCCACCCTCCGAGTCTAGCCATGTACGTCGAGTCTACAGTGTGATTGGTCCGCCCGCACCGGGCCTTCAATACACCTGGTCCACTCTCTGAGTCTACAGTATGACTGGTCCGCCCGCACCGGGCCTTCAGTCGGCCTGGTCCACTCTCCAAGCCTCGGCACGTCTGGTCCGCCCTCTTGGGGCCTTCAGCCTATCCGAACCGCTCGCTGGGCCTTCGGAACATCCGGTCCGCCCTGGGTATGTTTGCCTACAGCACAAAGCAGCAGGACCCTCCTCAACCCAACCCCCGTCAAACAACCATGTGCACATACAACAATTAATCACATAACAATCCTCAACCAGACAAACAGTCTAACAGATCACATAGCATATCAACATCCTAACCAGGATTCCGACCTAACCGGTCACTAGCATAACATTACCTTATCCCCCGGTACCGACCTTAACCAGGTCACTAACATAACACCATCCTAAATACCAGGATGCAGATCTAGCAAAACAATAACATAACAAACAATACCCGGATTTCCATCCGATAAAGGGCCGGCCTTGGTGCCGTAGATCCTGTCGATATAGTGAGGATAACTCACCTTGCAACTGCCGAAATCCTGCAAATCTCTGACCGCTGACTCACCGGGACTCCCAACTATCACATGATAATCACCAAGTTAGAATCCAACATGACTTTCTAGGCCAAGGGCCCACAACACTCATTAAGTCCAACATTCTCTTATTGGGCCAAAATCCAAAACCAAATCCTCATGCAAAGCCCAATATTGGCCCAATTTACTAAATTGGGCCCACCTCACCAAATGGGCCTAGATCCAAGGTCCATAATAATTATTGGGTCCAATTTACTCCATCCAAACTATTCAGTCACGACCCAAGCCCAGCTAGCCCATAAACAACCCAATTACTCAAGGCCCAAAATTGAAAACCCAACAGAGGGCGTACGCTGGGCGTACTCCTCTGGTACGCGGGGAGTACGCACGTCTGCACCAAAAATCCTTCCATGTGCTTAATGGCTTAAGCACTTAAGCCCAAACTTCAGATCCATCGACCAAACATGCCTAGGATTCATAAAGTCTCAAACTTTATTACTTGGGACGTCCATAAAGCTCTTAACTCAAGGTCTTAATCCATTAAGACCCACCTACATCACACATGAGACAATCAAAGCCTTTGGGACCTCATTTTTCTCACTCAAGACCTCTCCTAAGGTCTGAAAGGACAGCTAATCTCAACCAACTCGCATCATGCATCACAATGGGGGTTTTTGGGACAAGAATGGTGTCAAAACTTCACCACACTTAGATCTACACAAAATAGATGTCAAGCAAGAAACTTTATACCTTTAGGAGCTCTTGAGCCACCAGAAAACTTTAGATCTACACGCTTGCCTTCTTCCTCTACTCATTAGATGCAACACCTTCTTCTCAAAACACTCCAAATTCACTTCAAAGGTCACACACTCAAGAAGTTGGCTAGGGTTTGGGGAAAACGGCTCTAAACAGTGGAGGCTAGGGTAAGGGAGGGATGAGCTCTTAAAGTTGTTTAAATAGCCTCCATACCAGAAATATTAGGGTTTCTGGATGATAGGCGTACGCTGGGCGTACATCCAGTACGCTGGGCGTACCCAGCCAATTACACGCATGCACTCCATGCATGCCTAGGACCCATTTGCCAAATATTTCCTTTAGGGACCATTATTGACACTATCTTCAAAGTGTCATAACTCCTTTATTCTAAGCCCGTTTCCGACGAACTTTATATCCACGAAAAGGTGGCGAGAAGCCCTACGCTTCTAGCAACACACCCCGACCCAAAACCTTCTCGAATAAAACCCATTGCCCATAAAAGACCAAAACGCCCTTACTTTTGATCTCGGGGATCCATGAATAATTACTCTTAGAACGGGCGTTACAATTTCCCCCAATTCCTCCCCACTTAAATATGATTTCGCCCTCAAAATCGCCAATTGTCAACTCTGGCTACCCAAACGTACATACATCAATACCCTTACCAAAACCAACACTCACACCTGGCCCAATCAGCCTCCGGTTGGAATACCAGGCATGCCTACGACGGGTCCGCTCATCCCTAGGATGGAATACCCTCGTATCCCTACCCAGGTTTGGCCCAATCAACCCTCGGGTTGGAATACCAAACACATCAGGTCCAATCAATCATAGGGTCCGGTCATCCTCATGATGGGATACCCTAGATTGGAATACCTCCAACATACAAACTCAACCCAAAACCATACTCGGAACCAAGGACCTTGTCCTTGCGTCCCCCCTCGAACTCTCCGGTTCGCCACACTTGAGTATAACCCACTCACACTTCCCTATCGCGATCTTTAGGTCCTTGACCTACGACTGTAATATCCTTATGTAGTCCTCAGCACCTGTCCAGACTGCTCCCGAGTCTGTTATCCTACTGAATCACATTCCTCTGTCCCATTCCCCGATCTGGAACCACTATCCTCCTCCTCTTCTAAGGAGACCGAAAACATGCCTGCGCATCATCCAACATTGCCACAACCTCAACGGGCATCCAACCCTAATTTTCAGGGTTTTGTGCCCAACTCGACGAGTAGGCACTGGAAAGGGAAAACCCTAATTTTCAGGGTTTTGTGCCCTATATAAAGAACTTATGGCTCATTATGGCCTCCCTCATCGTCTTTACAGCCCAGAGAAACCCTAATCTGAGCCTTGTGCCTTCTTGAGTGTGTGTGAGAGCCTTTGAGAGTGATTTTGGTGTGGTTGTGAAGGGATTTGGAACTTGAAGAAGTTAGATCAAAGGGAGAGGTTGTAGATCCGACATCTACTCTGTGTTAGAAACCATTTGGAGGTAAAAAGTCTTTACCTTGGCTTTCCATTTCTTAGATCTTCCCTTATGCAAGAGTATGGTCATTTCTAGTGCAAAATGGAGTCACTATCGGGTTTGAGCTTGTCATGAGGACATGACTTCAGATCTGGACTCCCTATGGCCTCTTTGG